TATAACTCCATCTTTCGCAGAGTTTTAAGTGAAATTTTTAGTGTCTCCCAAGATTCTGAAAGGGAAGCCAGAACGAGGAGAGCGACCACCTCATCTTCCATCTTTATGCCCATACCGGACAACTGATCCACGATCCCTTGAATTTCGTTCAAGTGATCCGCCAATGATTTGCCTTCCTTGTATTTCATCTGGACCAACTTGGTCAGATAAAATAATTTGTTGTTGCCGGTCTTTGATGCATAAAGTGCCTCCATCTTGTTCCACAGAGTTCTGGCATGAGTTTCTCCGCTAATGTGGTTGTATACATTATCGTCGACGAACTGTCGAATGTAGCCACATACTTGCTCATGCTTGAACTCCCATTCCTCTTCAGTTTTGCCATCAGGTCTAGTTGGGCTAAACACCGGCAAATGCAACTCCGTCACGAGTAGGAGATCCTTCATCTTGTTTCTCCATATGTGATAGTTGGAGCCATTCAGACTTATCATCTTGCTTGTTTTTGCCTCCATTGGACGTGGCTCTGATACCACTTGTTGGGCGCAGCGGGTGAGAATATCGGGTAAATATATTGCACTAAGAAATCACACGCTTGTAAAAAGTTCACAAATAAGTTGGACCTGGTGGCAGAGCCTCCAGAATTACGGTAACCAACTTACTTAGATCAATTTACTTTGGTAATTTAATAATGCAATATACTACGACTATTCTCAAAATAACAACAATCATAGATAATAATAAATGACACCGAGGATTTACGTGGTATACCCTGATTTTGGGCCAGTCCACGGGAACAGCAGCTCCGGAGTATTTTTTTCACTATAACAATGGTAGGTTACAGAGATTTTCTCGATACAAGAAATAGAACACACGGTGTTTCCCAAACAACCTCACTATTTCACTCACAAGGAAATCTCCTATCTACCCGTGATTGTGAAAACGTTTCACAACCGAAACCACAAGAAAGAAATAGAACCGAGAGCTAGCAAAGAAGAATGATGAAGATGGAAAAATGGAATGGTGAGGGATGATGTTTTGAGGCTACTGCCTCTGCCTTTTATAGGCTAGCAAGGAAGAAGGATTAATTGCAATTGGGTGAGATATTCACCTCCCAACTGTCCACCGCTCCCTTCATTAGTTTTAGTTTTTTTTTTTTTTTTTGTTGTTCTTTTCCAATTACCACCGCTTACTGCTGGCTTCTTCCTCACCACATGTAGGCGGGCCAACAGTAATAAATAAAGAAATACAATGTGTTTCACAAATGGGTCATGTGATTCATAAATGTGGTCATCGAGATTCAAATACAAGAGCTATTGGACATATGCATAAGGCTATGCTACCATATAAAATATAGTTGTATCTAATAACTCGAATTGTTGGTAAAGGTTGAATAATTGATATTATACCACTTAGTATCATTGACCAGGGAGATCGAATCGTATTATGCATGTTGTGGTCGCGGAACAGTAAAGGTTATGATGGGCATTTAAATGTTTTTATATTATATGGATATGGTGAAATAATACGAGGTGATAAAATATATATTACCAAGACGACTCCATCTCGGGCGGCGAGAACAAGGATGTCAGCGCACGAAACGGTGGCGTTGCAAGCGGCCTCGACCATGGTCTTAATGTTGTCGATGACGGCGAAACCTCGGAGGGAGTTTTGGTTTGGCCCCGCCTTTTTCTCGCCGGTGATAGTGGCGGTGCCGTCGAGAAGTACCGACGCGTCGCACCCCTGCATGCATGCATGCAGTATGCCCTCGACGTAAAAATTCAAGCTCGTAGGGTAATTAAATTAGTACGCACCAAATGAGTAATATTAAAAGAAGGTGGCGACCTTTAACGAAGCAGTCATGGAAGAAGAGGCGAAGGATGGAAGCGGCCATCCGGGGGTCGTTGTTGACGGCTTGAGTCATTTGGTTGCGGACAATGGTGGTGAGGAGGTTTGGGCAGGAAGTTGAGTAAAAGTTGGCCGACAGATGTGCGGTGGCGGGAGATGGTAGCAGCGATACGGCCAATAGGGAAAGGAAGAAGAACTTAGCAACTATGAAGCCATTTTATTCGAGGAAACAAAGAAGAAGAAGAAGCTGCTTAAAGAGTTACTAGCTGATCTGTTTGGTGTGCCATAAACGGATGTGCTTAGCATAGTATTTATAGATCCCTTAACTTGACCTTTCTGCATGAGCATATGTATGGAGAGCATTTCTACTATGCTCTAAAGTATGGGTGCTTTAATGTACAATTTGAAGTTGTACCATAACGTTTAATGTATAAGTTTAGGATGTACCATAATGGAATTTGTACCCATGTATTATGGTACAACTTTACAACTTAAAGTTGTACAATCGCATAAATGTACAAGTTCAAGTTGTACCATGAAAGAATTTGTACAAAAGAGTATAGGTACAATCTAAAGTTGTACCATAACGTTAAAGGTATAACTTCAAGTTATTATATCATAAAGGCAAAAACTTAAAACACCAATACTATATAACATAGTAAAATTCCTCATGAAAGTCCAACAAGCTTGCTACTTGTATTAAAAAAAAAACTTGCGAAGATGGTTGATGTAGCTGTACGGGAAGTGGGAAACTAACTGGCTAGCTAATCAGGCAGTTTCAACCATGAATGCATTGCAATTACATGAAGTCGTTGCGTTTAAATTTCCGATGACGATTCGGATTTATTAGTTTAAAAATGACGACTTACAAGCACAGAGTGATCGATCGATCAAGCTAGCTATCCTTCCTTTCAGTCAGTGGCCATGCAATGCAAACCCAGTGGGAAACTACAAAAGAGGGTTCCATATCTATCAGCTTACTCCGCGCAATTTACGGGTCCATTTTCCCCTGATTAGTATATACCAGAACTAATAGAGATACATAGTGAAATAGAAGTTAATTAAGTGATCCACGGGACCAATTAACCTTCAAGGGCTACACACTAGCTAGCAACCACAAAATTAGTTGTTGTAAATTCTAGTTAATTAGTTTGGTTGATATTCGATTCCTCGTGTTTTGCTTATTGTTTAAAGTTTTTTTTTTTTTTTTTTATAATGGCGAAATAGTATTAATTTTAAAAAGAAGATTACAGCAGACCAGAACACACCTAGCAACAAGCTGGAAAAGGAATCAGCCCAAATAGACCTAGCACCAAGCTGATCTCGTTTATCAAATTAACACATTAGACATAGACATAGACATAGGCCCTGGAAGCAAACGATTCCTAACTATCTGCATCCAACTTTCTCCTTCGGTCTCCCCAACTTTATTCGCAGCGCGCAACCAATTGAAGATCATACGACACACCTTGAAACAAACCACTCTAGTAACTTCTCCTTCCTCCCTGAAAATTCTTGCATTCCTCTCGAGCCATATGCACCAGCACGTCGCGTGAAGGAGCACGTTTGTACACCAATCCTTGGGGCTGCCTGAAGTCTTCCGAGGCCAGGATCGAATTGAGGCGGAAATGTCATTGGAGTTAAGAGTGAAATCGACGAAGTAACTCAGCATCTTCCAAACTTCTTTAGTAAACCTGCAAGTCAGGAAAAGATGATCGACGGTTTCCTCACTAATTCTGCATAAAGCACACCGACTTGGAAGGGCCCATCCTCTTCTTTTGAGGGCGTCGTGGGTAAGAATCTTTTTCTGATATGCGATCCACAAGAAGGTGCAAACTTTGTGAGGAATGATCGGCTTCCAAATGAACTTGAAAGGAAAGTCCCCAGCACCCGGAAACCGCTCCTTGATCGTCTCGGTATAAAAGGAATGAACTGTGAATCCGGCGGGAGAGGGATTCCACACCAACCTCGAAGGACCTGCAAGAAACATGTTATTTGGCAGACTATTAAGATAGTTAAGGAGGTTTAGGCGCTCACTCTCAGCCCCTCCTCTCAAGCTATGCTTAAGAGGAATTTCCCAGGTGATAGTCCCATCGCCCTCATGTTTAAAGTTGAAACGTTGTTTTAGGGCTTATAGACGTTTAGGAGAAAACAATCATCAATTTGGACCGTAACGAAGCTCGAGTGGCAAGTATAGAGACTCACAGGGTTGAACCTGAGTCAAGAAAGCTTGTAACTCTTTTTACAACATATTGTCACCGCAGATACATCTGAGAAGATAAGCAGATCATAAAAAAAAAAACACTAAGTTTGTAATCCCAATTTGTTTACATCTAGAATGGTAAGGGAAGGTACTAGAATCAGTGGTTCTCTTCAAAAATACAAGACATAGCTTCCATAATAACGGTAAAAAGAAAAGGGAACAAGGAATCCACTGGCCTTATAGTTTTTAGCATGAAATTTGATAGGGTATCCTAGTAACTAAGGAAGCAAAACTCTAGCTAATAGCATAAGGAAGAAAAGAAGACAAAAGAGCAAAAGGACAAGGCCAAGAGACAAGAGACAAGGCCAGACATCTGACATCAGTAAAGACAAGGTGCAGGGGGACACCATCTGCCAAAAAGTACAATGTACAGTGTCAGAAGGTCTAAGGCGCCCGACCACAGCATTTATGGCTTGGCAGGCGCCCAGACTACTACCTAACCCTTAGATGTGTATAAATAGGAGTTCTCTCCTCATAAATGGCAATCTATCTACTCTTTACTCCAACTTCTCTCTACTTTCTCTCTCTATATACTTCTTCTCTTTTCTCACTTCTACTGAGGTGGGGCGCCCACCCCCTCAAAGTCATGTCTGACGCCCCAAATCCCTTGGATTCGAGCGACTCCCAGTCGCCCGGGCTCAAACAATTGGCGCCCACCGTGGGGCCAAACATGACTTTGAAAGACGCTTCCAACTTAAAGAAGGGGGAAGAAAGGAGTCCAGCACCAATGAAGACATCACTCAAACAAGTTGTTGGTCGAGAAGCGATCAACCCCCAACCACTTACAATCCAATGTTTGGAAGCATCCGATGATGATGATCCATCAGGAGACGGAGAAGACACGGAGCGCCTGAGGTGTCAACTGGCGAAGCTCCGGGAAAAGTAAGCGCTTCAAATGGAGAGCACGCAAGGCCAATTAGATCAAGTCATGACCGTGTTGTCGGCATTGACAAAAGCAAACGATCACGCGCCTCCCAATCCCCAAGAAGCCACAGAGGAGAGGAGGCGCCTCAAGGGAAAGATGCAAGAGGTCGAGGTGCTACCCATGAACTCCCCGTGGGAGGGAGTATGCGCCTCACCAGAAGAGGACGCGATTGAAGCTGACGACGACGCCTAATCATTAGGTAGCCGTTGTCAAGAAGAGTGCTTGAAACAACAATCCCACCAAATTTCGCAAGCATAGGCCTACCTTCATATGAAGGAAAATCCGACCAAGAGGATCACTTGAATGCGTTTTGTCGGAAAATGCAACTTCTCAATGCGTCTGACGCCGCCTTGTGCAAGGCATTCCCCTTAACCTTCATCGGAGGTTGCAGTAGCTGGTACTCCTTGCTTCCAAAGGGCATCATTCAAAGCTTTGCGCAATTCGCTTTGTTGTTTACAACAAAGTACGCAAGCCAGAAGAACCAAACGTTGACTGTTCGTGTGCTTGTCAATCTTAAGCAAAGAAAATGGGAGAGCCTCAGACACTTCATGGGGCGGTGGTGGGAGGTCGCGGCCGATGTTAAAGAACTAACCACTCCGCTTATGCGCACCAACCTAATGGATGCAAGCACTAGCGAGGAGCTAATACGCTCCTTAGCCAAAAGAGAGATACGACAGGTGGCCGAATTGGAAGAAAAAGTTCAGAAGGCAATCCTCATGGAGGAAGCGCTGGGGGCAAAGGAGGAGGAACAAGGAGGTGGCTCCAGGCGCCCAACTGAGAGTGGGAGGGGCGAGGGGCCAAGGACCAGAAGGCGGATTCCAGACCGGCGAGACAACTTCCGACGTACCAACAAAAACACGTTCTTGCAAATTCACAAGAACCTTGCCATGACCGAGCCAACCGCGAAAACACGAATCAATCCTGGGGACATGCAAACATGTACTGCGAGTATCACAACTCGCACACCCACAACACCGTTGACGGCCACTACTTCAAAAAGGCACTCAAGATAATCTCTGATCGAGGAGGATAAGAGAAATGTTCCAGAAAGCAGAGCAGGGAACTCAGTCCCCACGGGAGCGCAATCGCTCTCCGAACACAAGGCCGCCGGTGCAAGAGCGCCTGGATCCTAATCCAAATGTCAAGGAGATAAGAACCATCACAGGAGGGGAGCCCAGCCGAAAGAAGAAGCGCAAGGGGCAAGCGAGTGAAGCGTGGTTCATGAAGATCGCAAAACAAGAGGGTCTCGACTTATCATTTACATCGCAGGACTATCCTCCGGAGGGCCCATCTGAGAGCCCTCTTGTCATCAACATACAATTGGAAGGGTGCAAGGTATTCCGAGTTCTGGTAGATAATGGGAGCTCGGCTCACATACTCTTCTATTCTTGTCGGCGCCAAATGCAGACACCCCCTCAGACTATGCAAACCTCAGAGGCCCAACTTGTTGGCTTTTCCGGGGCAAAAGTAAAGGTGCTAGGAACGATGCACTTAAAGGTCAAGGTAGGTGATGAGGAGCCAAGTGTCACACACCCGGTGGATTTCCACATTGCTGATTGTCCACCCCCATATAATGCCATTCTGGGGAGGCCCTTCTTAGCTCGGTTTGGAGTCGTAGCCTCAACCTGTCATCAAACAATGAAGTTCCAAACACCCCAGGGAATGGGGATAGGCAGGGGGGATGCGAAAGCAACAAAGGCGTGTTATGCGGTGACCATTGACAAGCCAAATATACACACGATTGATGCTAGGCCAACTGAGGTGCCATGCCCAGGAGCAGTTGATTCGGAGATAGAGCTACCATTAGACCCTGACGACCCAAGCCGAGTCGTCTGACTTTCTACCCATCTACTAGAGCACATGCGCGTCCCAATGGTAAACCTATTAAGAGAGTACGCGGATCTATTTGCTTGGAGCCCTAAGGACATGTCCGGCGTCTCTAGGGATCTTATGGAACATAAGCTCTCCGTAAATCGAGAAAGCGTGCTTGTACAACAAAAAAGGAGAGGAGCATCGTTGGCAAGGAGGGTGGCCATGATGGAAGGGGTACAAAAGTTACTTAAGGCAGGGTTTATTCGGGAAGTGCAATACCCAAAGTGGCTAGCAAACATAGTGTTGGTCAAGAAACACAACTGGACGTGGCTAATGTGCATTGACTTCACCTCACTAAACAAAGCCTGTCCAAAAGAACCATACCCACTGCCAAGGATTGATCAGCTGGTTGATACCACCTCTAATCACAAGATGTTAAGCTTTCTTGACATGTTTTCGGGGTATCACCAAATCCCTCTCAGCGAAGAAGACTAGGAGAAAACGGCGTTCATGACCCCATACGGGAACTATGTAGTAATGTCATTCGGCTTAAAGAATGCAGGCGCCACCTATCAAAGGATGGTGGACAATGTCTTTGGGGGACAGATAGGACGAAACGTGGAGGAATATGTGGACGATGTGCTAATCAAAAGTAAGAAAGAGGGTGACCACCTGAGCAACCTAAGGGAGACATTTGAGAACCTGAGGCATCACAATTTGAAGCTCAACCCCCTCAAATGTGTGTTCGGGGCAAGTGCAGGTCAGTTCTTAGGCTTCATGATAACTCGCCGTCGTATTGAAGCTAAGCCAAAGTAGATAAAGGCAATTGCCGAACTCAAGTTCCCATGGACAGTGAAGGAAGTTCAATCATTGGCGGGTAAGCTCGCTGCACTCAATAGATTCATTCCCAGGTCAGCGGATAGGTGCGCTCCACTCTTCAACTCTCTAAAGAAAAAATCCAAGTCCAAGTGGACGGAAGAATGTGAAAAAGCATTCGAAGAGATGAAAACTCTGCTGGTGAATCCTCCCATCCTTGTAGCTCCAAAAGAGGGAGAGCATTTGTTCCTCTACATAGCCATATCAGACGTGGCTATTAGTGCGGTACTCGTTAGGCGTCACTTCGAAAATCTTGCAGACCAGCCGGTATACTACATCAGTAAGACGCTCCTTCCAACCGAAAGGAGGTACCCAGCCATCGACAAGGCGGCCCAAGAATTGGTAAATGCCGCCCAAAAACTAAGGCACTATTTTCAAGGACACACAGTTACTATGCTAACCAACCTACCAATGAAAATGATTCTTCATAGCACAAGCACCTCAGGGCGCCGAACCAAATGGGCAATTGAGCTAAGTGAGTTTGACATCCAGTATGCTCCTCGTCCTTCAATCAAAGCCCAAGTCCTAGCAGATTTTGTAGCAGAAGGAACGATTGAGCCAACAAGGGTCGATGAGGGAAGGTGGAGGCTGTTTGTCAATGGTGCGGCAAGTAAGACGGGTGTAGGCGCTGGCATAGTTTTGGAAACACCAGGAGGTGTCATACACGAGGTGTCTTTACGATTCTGAACACTTAAAACCAATAATGCGGCCGAGTACGAAGCATTGATCAACGGCATGCGCATCGCGCAGGAGCTAGGGGCAAGGCGCCTCGACGTTTTCTCCGATTCCGCATTGGTGGTGCGGCAGGTACTGGGAGAATTTGAAGCAAAGGAAGATTGTTTGCTGCGCTATGTGGAAGAAGCGAAGAAGAGAGCGCAGGGTTTGAGGTTTTGAAGCTCTTTCATATAGCATGAAGTGACAACGCGCACGCAGATGCGCTTTCCATATTAGCCACAGTTGTTGATTTTGAGGAGGAACAACATGTAATTGTCGAAAAGGAGAGCCCAAACGCCACCCTGTGGATGGGGGTAAACAGTGTTAATATCGGCCAGGAAGAACAAGATTGGAGGGTGCCAATCGTTGAATACCTCATGAATGATACCCTCCCAGCAGATCCGAAAGTGGCCACAGGAGTAATAAGGCGTGCGGCGCGTTGCACCATTATCGGCACTGAGCTGCATCGACGGTCGTTCGAAGGAGTGTATCTTAAGTGCCTTGGAAAGGCTGAGGCAAAGTGGGCGCTCAGCGAGATTCACAAAGGCGTGTGTGGTGGACATGGGGGGCCAAGGAGTTTGGAAAGAACGCTTAATTTGCAAGGGTACTACTGACCAACCATGAGAAATGATGCAAAACAATCCGCTATGGCTTATCATGCATGCCGAACCCATGCCAAAGAGCATCACCTCCTAGCTACCACAATGCAAGGAAACATTAGTCCTTAGCCCTTCGCCCAATGGGGAATGGATCTAGTTGGGCATTTCCCGAAGGCTTTGGAAAAAAGGAAATACCTTATAGTGGCTGTGGACTATTTCACGAAGTGGATTGAGGCTGACCCGTTAGCCGCTATTACTGCAAAGCAAGTCGAGAAATTAGTCTTCAACAACATACTCTCGCGATTCGGCATTCTAAACTCCATCGTCACCCATCACGGTAAGTAGTTTGATTGTGCCTCCTTCGCAGACTTTTGTCAAGGTTACAATATCCAGCTCAAACTCTCATCAGTGGCATACCCGGAAGCAAATGGACAGGCGGAGGCGGCAAAAAATACCATACTTCAGGGACTGAAAAATCGTCTTTACGAGCAGAAAGGAAATTGGGGAGAAGTGCTTCCCCATGTCCTATGGGCGCTACGCACCACCCCAAAAAGCTCTACGGGCGAGACCCCCTTCGCCCTAACTTTTGGGGCGGAAGATGTAACCCCCACGGAAGTAACATTGCCCACCTTGTGTGTTCAGTGTTTCGATGAAGGGAACAACGTCAACATGGCCCATGAGCTAGACATGCTAGATGAAAGAAGAAGCCAGGCGCTTCAGAAGCTGGTGGAGGACAAGGAGCAGTTGGCAAAATATTATAATTCAAAGCTTAAACCTCATCACATTGAGGAAGGAGACCTCGTTCTAAGGAAGGTATTTCGCCTAATCCGAATCACGGAAAGTTGGCTGCCAAGTGGGAGAGACCCTTTTTCATAAGGGAGGTGATAGGACCAAGCACTTTCAAGCTTGCTACCATGGAGGCGGAGCGTGTCAGCAAAACTTGGAACGCAAAGCATCTGAGGAAGTACATGTGCGAACAAGAAGCACAAGGAGAGTAGTCAGAAGGTGGACATTTTGTATGGAGGAGGGGCGCTCTCAAAGAGGCGTAGTCCAAAGATACCCTAAGGAAGTTACAAGTGTGTTTATTCGTTTTTCTCTACTTTAATTTGACCCAAAGGTAGACATTTTTGTAGGGGGGGAAGGGCGCTCTCTGATAGGCGTAGCCCGAAGACACCCTAAGGGAGGCACAAG